TCCGAAGCCAGTCGACAGGTTCCGTCACAACTTCACAACTCTTACAGTTTTAGCGTTACATTGTGGCTAGCCCGCGAACGGGCTAGCCACAAAAATGAAAATATATGTTTATGTGTGAAAATATATGTTTATGTGTGCAAATATGGTACTATGAAGCCTGTCTTTTTTATTTGCGTGAAAAATTAAATAAAAAATAAATGAAAAAATATGTTACTTTATGTGTGTAAATATGGCATTATGAAGCCGTCTTTTTTATTTGTGTAAAAAATTAAATAAAAAATAAATGAAAATATATGTTTATGTGTGTAAATATGGTACTATGAAGCCTGTCTTTTTTATTTGCATGAAAAATTAAATAAAAAAAAAATATTAAAAATATATGTTACTTTATGTGTGTAAATATGGCATTATGAAGCAGTCTTTTTTATTTGTGTAAAAAATTAAATAAAAAATAAATGAAAATATATTTTTATGTGTGTAAATATGGTAGTATGAAGCCTGTCCTTTTTTATGTGTGAAAAATTAAATAAAAAATAAATGAAAATATATGTTTATGTGTGTAAATATGGTACTATGAAACCCATCTTTTTTATTTGTGTGAAAAATTAAATAAAAAATAAATGAAAATATATGTTTGTATGTAAATATGATATTGGAATCCAGGGTAGACCCATGCATGTGATGTACGGGAGACTGGCGCAAGCGCGCAGGATTTTTAAAAGTGAAGCCTGGTGAAGTGAAGCAAAAACGAGAGAAAAAGTCCAAATCCTTTAATGAGGAACCGAATTCCAAGCTATAAAAAGGAGAAATCCAGGCATTTTGGGATGAACATAACACTAACCTAAACCCGAACCGCGACCATTTTTGGCATGATCCAAGACAAAAACATGCGTTTGTGTGTGTAAAATATTGCATTATATAAGACATCTTTTATTTGTGAAAAAATAAATAAATAAAAAATAAATGGAAATATATTTTTATGTGTGTAAATATGGCATTATGAAGCAGTCTTTTTTATTTGTGAAAAATTAAATAAAAAATCGCCAAAAATATTGTTGAGGTGGTGGCAACAATTTACAGGTTCACTTGGTGTTTGGCGTCCAAACCGGGTTGGTATTTGGACAAGGTATGTCATATTTTTTAAATCATGAAAAAGTGCTCAATTTGGCCATTGTGCACGAGATTTTGATTCTGGTATTTTGTGTTACAATTTATTAATACGTCGTCATGTTTTGAAGGGTCTGCGCAAGAACATAACAACTAAACTGGTGGACCAGACTACACTACGAATATACCACATAAATCGTACCGAAGTATTATATTAGCAAACTTTGTTTTTCGTTTTGCATGCATGCTACGTGGAAGTCCGAACATTTAATATTAACCCTAATCCCGAACCGCGACCATTTTTGCATGATCCAAGACAAAAACATGTGTTTGTGTGTGTAAATATTGCATTACAGAAGACATCTTTTATTTGTGTGAAAAAATGAATAAAAAATAAATGAAACTATATTTTTATGTGTGTAAATATGGCATTATGAAGCAATCTTTTTTATTTCTGTGAAAAATTAAATAAAAAATCGCAAAATTAAGCATACACATTTCCAAACCGCGCTGGTACGTGGACATTAGGTATGTCATATTTTTTTAATCATGAAAAAGTGCTCAATTTGGCCGTTGTGCACGAGATTTTGATTCTGGTATTTTGTGTTACAATTTATTAATACGTCATGTTTTTAAGGGTCTGCGCAAAAACATTACAACAAAACTGGTGGACCAGACTACACTACGAATATACCACATAAATCGTACCGAAGTATTATATTAGCAAACTTTGTTTTTCGTTTTGCATGCATGCTACGTTGAAGTCCGAACCTTTAATATTAACCATATAAACCCGAACCGCGACCATTTTTTGCATGATCCAAGACAAAAACATGTGTTTGTGTGTGTAAATATTGAATTACATAAGACATCTTTTATTTGTGTGAAAAAATAAATTTAAAAATAAACGAAAATATGTTTTTTATGTGTGCAAATATGGTAATAAAAAAATTGAAGCCTAGCTGTCTTTTATTTGTGTGAAAACTTAAACAAAAAATAAATGAAAATATACGTTTATGTGTGTAAATATGGTACTATGAAGACTGTCTTTTTTATTTGTGTGAAAAACTAAATAAAAAATAAATTTTTATGTGTGTAAATATGGTATTACGAAGCAGTCTTTTTTATTTGTGTGAAAAATTAAATAAAAAATAAATAATCGCCAAAATATTGCCGAGGTGGTGGCAACAATTTACAGGTTGGTGTTTGGCGTACACATTTCCAAACCACGCTGGTATGTGGACAAGGTATACCATATTTTTAAATCATGAAAAAGTGCTCAATTTGGCTGTTGTGCACGACATTTCGATTCCGGTATTTTGTGTTAGAATTTATTAATACATCATGTCTTTAGGGTCTGCTCAAAAACATGTTAACAAAACCTGTGGACCAAACAACACTACAAATATACAACATAAATCGTACCAAAATATTATATTAGCTAACTTTGTTTTTCGTTTTGCATGCATGCTACGTGGAAGTCCGAACCTTTAATATTAACCCTAACCCACCATTGTTTGCATGATCCAAGACAAAAACATGTGTTTGTGTGTGTAAATATTGCATTACATAAGACATCTTTTATGTGTGAAAAAATAAATAAATAAAAAATAAATTAATTAAAATATATTTTTATCTGTGTAAATATGGCATTATGAAGCCGTCTTTTTTATTTGTGTGAAAATTAAATAAAAAATGAAAATATGGTGCCAATTCCTTAACAAGAGATTGTGATCACTGATTCCTTAAACAGAACCAGATGCATTTAGTTAATTTTATATTTTAATCTACTGAAGCTGAAAACAGCTTTCTTTTTTGTGCATGGTCAACTGTTTTGTAACCAACCACAAAGTTTTCTTTTGTGCCACAGTTATTATCCTAATTGCAAAATTATAATCGTAATTAATCGGTTAAACTGACTTTACTTACTGTGATTGCTTTACACAAGCTAATCCGCAATGACCTTCGGTCAACAAAAGAAAGGTGCGATGGAAAACTAGATTCTGGGCAAATAAAATAATAGTGCACGCTCCTTGACATACTCTGGTCAGTTCCGTAAGGTAAAAGGATTAATGCATTTTAACATCTTTTTAGACCATAGCGACACCAGTCGCATGCTATACTTGGAGGCCCAAAGCTGACATAGCCTTGTCGGACTGGGCCTGTCGATCATCCTTTACAGCAACTATGACATGAAAATTAATTTTTGTCTGACACCCTGTCAACAAACATTGTCAAGGTGGTGGCAATCATATATGCACATGTGACAATGAACCAACCGGGTTTTTTTGGCACAATCCCTGTATGTGATAGAGACATGCACAAGCTGTTGATATAAGATACAAAGCTGTTGATACAAAGATAGGAGACCGGCACCAATTATGCCACCACAGTTGAGTTGGATGGTTGAGGAATTATTCCACAACCATATATGCCTTTGATCTGGATGAGGCAAAGACCTTACTGCTCCATTGCTGCAGAAAGAAGTCAAGAACCATGGATCCAGTGGAAGGAGCTAGGCTTAAAGGTCCAGGGAAAAATGTTTTAATTTTAATTAAGACATGATCTTTTTATATTTGTGTAAAAAAATGAAAATATCTTTTTATGTGTGTAAATACTGGATTAATTGCTCATCGTGGGTTGCCAAGAAACATTTTCCAAAATAAAGAAAGCAATTGTCTTGTTAAAGATGACACAATGTATTGACCAGGTGATGGCATGAGGATGCCAGGTAAAATTTTTCTGCCTTGCAGTATGTAAATATGTTCATAAGTTTTAGTTGTTCAGGATGAAGCTTCCAAAGTTGAACAATGCAGTAACTGTTGGACAAGCTGAATTATGGTTGAAACAAAAAACAATCGGTCAAGAAAACCAACAACAAATTTAAGAGATTAACAACCAGTAGTGTTGCAAAGATGATCTAGAAAACACTGTGTACAAACGGAACTGCATGTTTGGAAATCCAGTTAAAAAGGCAAATCTATTTTACTTTATAAATAATCTTCTTAACCCTATGATGATCTTGAAGTAAACTCCAAAATGCCATTTTTTTTAAATATCTGACAGCCTTAATTGTACTAGGACATTAAAAATGTAGAAATCTAATATACCATTTAATTGGTATTAAATATTAAATCTTTCATGCATGAATGGGCTAGCTTTCTCGAGGACAAGTAAAAATGTCTGGTATCAGAGCTAGGCCAAATATTTCAGTAAGAAGTACAGATCGAGCTCAAGCAACAATCACACAATTACAACCAAACTTTGCATTGAATCAAGAAAATGTTTGTAAAACTATGTCAAGAAAAGACTGAACAAACTTCGAACTGCACGTACACAAATCCCTGCCATTTCTATTCACACAGAACCAGATTATAAATACAAAACAGGAGTTGAGTCAGTTTGGGAAAGACATGAATTAAACTAAATGAATTAACCTATTCATGAACATAATTTACTTTAGATTTGATGAACTAAATTAACTTTAGTTTAATTTTGTAGAGTGTTACTATTAACTTATTAGAACTGGAGATGGTCAATCAAAATTTTTTTGGGTATTAAATCATGCTTTATACTAGAATAAATCAAATATGTCATGGAATGATTCAGTATAGTTTGTTTTTGGAATACATGCAGCAATTACTCGAGTATGATGAATTGGAAAATTTCAAATATTTCCTTGCAGTCTGTATTTGGCATTGCACAGCTACATAGCATCCACAAGATCAAATGGCAGTATAACTTTTTTTAAGAATGTCTTTGCATTTTCCCGGTCTATTGCCCACTTCAACTGTATAGGTGCGCAACTTACCAATTGATGCTATGCAGACTTCAAATTAGGAAAATATGCAAATGTTTTCATTGATGAAAATTCAGAATTTTACCAAGTGTAAAAACAATTGAAACTACAATATTTCAGCCAATTTTTTATCCACAGCAATTTTTTTTTACAATTTGATCTAAAATTGTCAAGTCTACCACAAAGAACTTATTTCTACCACAAAAGTTTGCATGTCCTTTGGAAAATTATTTGCACCATAGTATTCAACGCTCTAAAGATGTTGTCTTGTTTGAAAGCATTATGCTGGGCTTTATTATATTCATCTTCAAAACTTTAAAATTCAAATGAGTGCACATTGCTAATTCAAACCATGCTACAACCGAAGTGGGCAATATGATTCATTTGAGAACATATTATTTGCTTTGCATTTTTTTCTGTTTTCCATTGCAATTCTGCATTCATCACTGTAGATACTTTTTGATAATTTAAAATGCGCTTGCAAGGATCTATTGCTTGAATAGTATAAATGTTCTTACAACTAAATTACCGCATCAAGTGTTGACAGATCAACTCAATACACAAAGATTAAACAAAATTCTTGTTACCTTCCGCATCACAACTTGATAAGGTTTTCATCGATGTTGTCAGAATTTTAACATGTCAAATTTCTTCACTTTGATATTCATTTGCTCACATAAGTATCACAGTTAGGAAGATGGTTTCATCAATACTGGTCATTTGAAAGAAGATGGTTTCATCAGTATTAAACTTGGAGGAAGATGGTTACATCCTTTCTTACAACATAACTTTCTATTATCATACAGTAACATCAGCTGATACAGTTTGGACTTGAGTTATAAAATGACCAAAATACACCCTAGTATTAAAATAAGAGAACATATGTAATCAATACCATGAAATACACATTTCTTTACAATAACTAAAAAGCAAATTTCCTGAGTTCAAATAGCAAACACCATAAATTTATTTCAAAATTGCTTTCAAAATCACTGGAAACAAAAATTGCAGTGTTTCCACTTCGCAAAAATTGAGAATTAACACCACATTCGATCCAGTTAATTAAATACAAGTCACGTGTTTTTGGAGTATTTTGCGGATATATATATCACATTCCTCATAAAAAAGTGGCCAGTACAGATGTACAGTATATTCATATGCATCTTTCTTCATATGCATCAAACAACAATGAAAAAATTAGGGAGCATGTAAAAATTTGGTAATAATCGGTATTTTGTCTTTCCCCTTTGGGCAAAAATTTCGCAAATGTTCAAACAAAACTTGACAAACATTGTGTGATTGTGTAGAGGCATTTAACGATATACATACCTTCCTATATTGGGTTTCTCAGTGGCTGAAAGAGCGGGCAACAAACATCACATGTCTTGGTCGTGTTGATGGGGCACGTGGACATCACATGTCTTGGTCGTGTTGTGCGCCGCCCTTCGTTCAGATCTGAAAAATTTCACAAAAAAATCAAGAAAACTTAATCAAAAATGTCTAGAAACGTTCAACAATGCTTAACAGATGTTTTAAGGGGTGGAAGGGCTTCAAAAGCGAGCGACAAACAAGAAAGAAGAGCTTTTAAAAATATTACCTTTATACCTCGTGCTTCACAACGTGGTCGGCCGCTCGGCGACTCCAGCCAACTTGGCAGGACAAATTTTTGCCATAAAACTGCAAACAAAACAAGTATAAGTTATATAAATGAAAGCAAAGCTATTCCCATACAGTATCACTACAAGTTTTGTGTAAAACGAGGTCTAAAATACAAACTGAAAATGGCGCAATGAAGCGAGAGCGAATTTGGGCGCGAAAACGAAATACATACATTTTGTGTTCAATGGCGAAGTTTAGTACAGTAAGTGAATTAAAATGTTTTGAAACAACAACAAAAGCATAATACAAACCTATTTGCCGTAATCCATTTCTCAGCGGTTGAAAGAGCGGACGACAAACATCACCCTGCTCGTGTTGACGGTGCACGTGGACACCACGTCGCCCTTCGTTCAAATCTGAAAAATTTCACAAAAAATCAAGGAAAGTTAACAAAAAATGTCTAGAAACGTCCAACGATGCTTAACAGATGTTTTAAGGGGTGGAAGGGCTTCAAAAGCGGGCGAGAAACAAGAAAGAAAAGCTTTTAAAAATATTGACCTTTATACCTGGTGCTTTCAACGTGGTCGCCGCTCGGCGACTCCAGCCAACTTGCGGGACAAACTTTTGCCATAAAACTGCAAATAAAACAAGTATAAGTTATCTAAATGAAAGCAGAGCTATTTCTATATAGTATCTCGGCAAGTTTTGTCTAAAACGATGTCTAAAACACAAAGAAAATGTCGCAATGAAGCGAAATTAGCGAATTAGGGCGTCAAGTATGTCATTGTGTTGGCGAAGTTTACTGAAATATATGAATAAATTGCTCTTGAAACAAAAACACAATACAAACCTATTTCCAGCCGACAATTTGAAGATATAAAATCAAACGAATTCCAAAAGAACCGAAGATACGATAGACAACATATTTTGACCGTGTGCCAGTGGCGATATTTTCAAGTGTTAATTAATCTGCTTCACGTACAAATTGACTCGTGAAACTGACGCCAGTGTACGTTCATTGTTTGCACACAAGAAAAATCTTGCTCTTGTTACAGTAAAAGAGCCTTTGTTTTCTACAAAAGCTTTCATTGTCTTTCGAGTCTTTAAAAACAATGGGCAAGCACTAACAAAGCAATGCCCCAAGCAAAATCCTTTCCAAATTGACACAAAGTACATTCACGCCCTTGATTCTTATTGGTCGTCGACTCACACTCGCGAACTCTGATTGGCTCAGCTCAAGCAGCCATGCAAAATGATTGGCTACTCCCGCTGGCTATTCCTCATGCTAGCTTCGTTATGATTGGCTGCTGCTAAGCGGCCAAATCGTTAATTATTCAGCCATTGAGCTATGTTTTCACTGAATCAACTTGTGGTAATCTATGGTACCATTTCATTCAGTGGCGTAACTGCTATGGGCTCAGACCGGGAGAACCCGGGGGCCCCCAACCTAAATGGGCCCCCCAGGCTTAGGCGATAGAGCAAAAACATTGGTCAGGGCCTCTGATATGTTACAATGTCGTTTTATGACCATCAGAATTCTGTAAAATCTCTCCCCAAAGTCCAGGAAATGACATTTCAGAGAGTCTAGATTAAAAAATTTTCCGGATGAGCATGACCTAGACCCCCTAGAAAACTCGTGCATATACGGCGCTCGACTCGTGCCTTTGGCACTTCTATACTAGGGGGCCTTCGAAAATTTTGAACCGGGGGCCCCCTGATATAACGTTACGCCACTGATTTCATTACTGGAATATTCTTGCATGTTTGGTTTATTGTTGTACCAGAAACTGGTCGCCAATCGCTGCTAATCTTGTCGTTGTTGTTGTTGTTCTTGAACCATTGAAATTGGATGGTTATGTCGTTGAATACTATCGGCATAACCAATGAACTTTGATGGTTATGCCGTTGAATAATATCGTTGTTTATGCGGATGTGACGTCATATGTGCAAACGCTCTATTTCCACAGGGAAATCTCGTTAGACTGTAGGGCACCTTTTTACCCACTGATATCTTACCCAGGCTATATTTTTCTATGACTAAAGGGGCCGTTTATGGAGCCGGGCTCGGCCCTGTTAATCGGGATGATTCGTTCAATAGCGAGGTTCAGATTTGACCGACTACAGTACCATTAAGGGACCAATAACCAATCAGATGCGTTTGATATATCCGATTACCCAATCAGACACGTGGTAGTGGAAGTCAACTTTGATCTCCCCATCGTGGAAGAAGCCAATCTCGCACCCAGAGCCATCGTTGGCTCTGGGTACGAGATTGTGAAGAAGCTGGTAGTCCGCGAGGCAAGTCTGCGCGCCTCAAACTGTGGAGAAAATAATATAAGATTGAACGCGTTCAGCGACGTGCAACGAAATATATTCTACATCTGCCACTTTAATAACTGCGTCATACAAATACAGAGTAATTCGATGTCTTTTTCTTCAAACTAATAAACAATTTTATCCGTGTGGAGAATACTTTCTTACCGAAATCAAAGAAATCTGAGAGATTGACAAGATTGTCGCGTAATGCGTTTGGTATTATCTTCAAAGAGCGACGATACAGAACATCAGATCTTATTGAATACAATCAACACGGTGAAGGTGAAATTCAAGGACTTTTCCAGGACTTTCAAGACCCTTTTTATTGGGTTTTTTTTTCATATTCTTAATATAATATTACATTGAGTGGAAAGGTTTTGCTTTTACCAATGGTAACATATGTTGTTTATAAGTAAGTGTACGATTGCTTTATCTCTTGGTTGGGATGGAAAGGTTTTGTTTTCACCAATGGTAAAATATATTTTCTATAAGTGTCTGATTGATCGATCTCTTGGCTGGTTGGTTGACCACGTCAATACTAGATTCCCTGTAGATTCCCCTATTACGTTTTCGTAGCGCTGTGCATTGTGGTTATAGTGGTATCACTGATATTCAAGATGGCTTAATTTTTGTCCTGACCCGTGCAAGAACTTCTAAAAAAGGCTAGGGTCAGGTGCGCGATAGCCTGCAACAGCAAAATATTCGCGAAAACATTCAATATTTTTATTCGAGGCCGCTATCTTTATCAGTGATACCACTATAACCACAATGCAAAGCGCTACGAAAACGTGATAAGGGGAATCCTCAATTGAACAATTCGTCAATTGATTAATATTATATAGTAATTTGATTTTTAATATTGTTACCAAGGCAAAGTTAGATAAATAAAAAAAAGCTCTTACGAGGGCTTTGATAAACACTCAAAATGACATTTCAAAGTAAGTTCATTCCAACGATCTTTTGCGGAAAAAGGCCAGCCTGGTACATATACGAAATTTCCCTAGTTGTCGACTGAGTAAACTAATTATTAAATTTTAACTAGCTAATGATGTCATGTGTAATTGATGTAGATGCTTCACTGCTCGTTCACTGATGTTGAGAGGCGCATACACGGGTAGTACGCCCGGCTCGTTCATCAACGCAAGACCACATACACCAAAGTAGGAATGAAGTGCATCTGAAAACAAAACAAAGGAACAATAAGACCAGGGATAGATCCAGGGGTACGCGGTTTTGACCAACTGTATAATTGCATAATTGTTTCAGCTTGGACTGTGAGTGGTTTTGCCCCTCACTAAAAACTATGAAATGTGAAAAATTGTAAGTCAACATACCGGGATGCGAGTCAGGCCACTTGCTGAACCCGCCAACAGACTGAGCTTGAGTCGACATCAAGAACTCTCGATTACTCTCAAAATTGACAAAATTATAACAGTCCAAAAGCTAGAAAGATATAAAGTATTAACACATTAAACTTGATTTTAAGACAGCTGATTTTAGGAGTGGGTCCAAGACACTGTTGGGACGTGGACAAAGTCTTCAGGGTGCGATAATTCGCGTACTTACGTACCGGAGGTACGCCAATAGTACGGTCTGGTGCTTCTTTGTTTTCAGTGACGTATGTACCACGTAGGTACGCGCAACTCTTGCTATCTGCGTACTTACATTTTGCTGGTACCACATGACCTACATTTCCAATTATTCAATACCGTAATTTAGTTGGTATACAGCTATTTCAATTAAGGTTGTACGTTGCCCTCGAGCAAAGCGGAAAAGTAGAATAATAGCGCGAAAGGCTGCTGGGAATCGCTATGAAAATTCATTAATTTGTTAGCGATTCCCAGCAGCCTTTCCTGCTCGTATTCGACTTTTCTGCTTTGCTCGTGGACAACCTTAATTGAAGTAGCTGTATGTGTAAGTCTGGCATATCTCAGATATCTTGACAAGAAACATGATTGAATTTATTCCACAAAGGAATGTTGGGTCGATTGTTTGTATATGCAATTGTGCTTCTTGTTCTAACTCGTAGTTTGCATATACTTTTCAAAAACCTGTACTATATTATTAAAGACTAACTCCGACTAAGTACAAATTGAGTATTCTATTTGCGCAAGTACGCGGCAATAATCATTGGCGTACCAGTCATGTTCGACTAAAAATCTTGAATTATCGCACCCTGAAAGTATTGGGTTGTCTTTAAATAGTACCGTACTATAACCACCTTCAACGAAGCCCCAACCCAGAAGGAATAACACGTGTCAACAGGTTTATTGGGACGGCCATGGAAGCCTGATTTCTGTCGAAATATACACCATCTTTTAATCTTCTCTAATTGATCAGACGTCAATGATTCAAGACGATTCATCAAAACCAATGAGGCCAATGCACAATACGTGGATCCACCTAGATGTAACAAACATGTAATTGAATTTGAAATTAGCGACTTTGCATGCAGAAATAACTCAAATGTGCGGATCAGAGGTCCAGTGTTTGAACTACACCTGAAAAAGATATCTCTAACATGTTAGTCCAGCTCCTACACTGGATTACCACTAACATGTTAGAGATATCTTTTTCAGATAGTTCAAATACTACCTAAAGGTATCCTACAATACGTTATCGTTGTTTGTGTCTGAACTACTTCAAAAATATCTCAAACGTGGTGGTCCAGTGTAGGTAGTATTCTACAATAAGCTGTCCTGGTTTGTGTCTGAATTACCTTAAAAAGATATCTCAAACGTGGTGGTCCAGTGTAGGTGGTATTCTACAATAAGCTGTCATGGTTTGTGTCTGGACTACCTGAAAAATATATCTCAAACGTGGTGGTCCAGTGTGGGTGGTATTCTACAATAAGCTGTCATGGTTTGTGTCTGAACTACCTGAAAAAGATATCTCAAACGTGGTGGTCCAGTGTAGGTGGTATTCTACAATAAGCTGTCGTGGTTTGTGTCTGAACTACCTGAAAAGATATCTCAAACGTGGTGGCTCAGTGTAAGTAGTATTCTACAATAAGCTGTAGTGGTTTGTGTCTGAACTACCTGAAAAAGATATCTCAAACGTGGTGGTCCAGTGTAGATAGTATTCCACAAAAAGCTGCCATGGTTTGTGTCTGAACTACTTGAAATAGATATCTCAAATGTGCCCCGGTCTTGTTTTTTAAGAATATCAAATCAAACACTTACCAACTGCTTCTAGAAAGGGACCTTGTGCAAATCCATGTTCATAAGCCTAAAAATGACATAATTATGATCAAACATTTCTGCTGGCTTACAGAAACACTGTTCAGAATATTAATCTTACCAAACTATCTTTAATGTATTTCACAGCATTTTCAATATTCACCCCACTCCAATCATTTAACATGTAACTTATACAGCTTGCACAGAAAATAAACCTCATGTCATTTTCACTCCCATCTGCCGTCGCACCAAAACTACGAAAAAACCAAACATCCAGTTGTAGTAGGTCGAAAACTTCATTTTATTTATAAATGCCAAACATTGACATTCAAATATTAACCGAAGGTGATTACCTGCCGTCATCAAGCTGCAGATGTTTCAAACTTTCAATGACTGATTTTTTATCAACTCTTGACAAATCATCTCCGAGTATTACAAGGCTGGCCAAGGCAACATATGTCATGGCAATATGGCCGCTGTCGAAGGGACTTTCAAAATCTTCATACCCCTATATATATAGTATCCAAATTTACTTAGTTAATGTACAGACGTACAGCTTGAAAGCTTGCTGGCAAATAAAATACATACATGGTGTTTTTTTTACAAAACAAAAGTTACAATTATTTTCTTGTACAGTACCTTTAAATGTAATGTTGATGAGCCTTTAAAACCACAATTGTTTACATCTCTTCCTAAAAAATTTTATTGTTAATACACAATTCTCTTTCCTTGAGTAACAGTAAGAAAAAAATGCTAACTTTGGTCAAATCATCTGTCTTTAAACAGAGCTAGAGCATTTGAGATCTCACAATTTGATAACGAAAAATGGCCACATCAACCAAAAATCCTTGGCAGTAAGTGGTGGCCATGCAAAGTAAATATTGATAGCAGGGGCGGATGTACCAGTGGGATGCAGTGAAGGGCAACCACACCCGCCCTAGTGGTATCCATGACCCCCTTGCACAATAATTCTTCAACTTATTAAAGATGCGGTACAGTCTGATCTGCGCATGTGCACAAAGGAGCCCTCTCTTTATTTACAAACAGTTTATTTAGGTTTTTATTTCATTTTATCTTCTTGCAAAGCTTGATTGTTGTCTCTTGATAATTTATTATAGTCTAGAATGATGAAAATATAAATAGTTGTCAATTGAAATAAAATTCAATATTTTGGATACCGAAATGTAAACAAAGCCTTTGTTTACATACGGACTGTACCGCATCTTTAAGCCAACAATTCATAGTAGTGCTGTTTTCCTTTGTCCATGATTATTGTTAACACATTAAGGAAATGAACGCCCTGACATAATACAAAATAAAAAGTTATTTACAGCTGCAACAAGTCATGAAAATTACCTTCCTTGGACAAGACTTGTAGAGAATATATCCAATCAATGTAGTTTGCTTTATCATCGGCTATTCTATCTAATGCATTCAAAACGTCCAAACCAGATAAGGCAAAAAATGCAATAGTCAACCTGGAAAATAAACACATTAAATACATTTTGAAATTGTCCAGACCAATTCACACTGGTTGCACAACTTTTGCATAACACTATTACATGCGACCTGCTTAAGTTGTACAATGTAAATCAAGTGCACAACTCACTTACAACAACATGGGCGGATTTACAGGGGGTTAGAGGGAGTTACGGGGGGTGTTGTGGGGGTCTGCAGTTATCTTGTATAGATAATAGTATAAAATGGCTAATATCACATCAGAATGTGTTATTCCATACAAACTAGTCATGGAAAAATTCTATTTGAGAACTTCAAAAGACAAAAATCAAATGCAGACTCTGTAACAGCATGCCAAATAACTATTAAAAGCTAACTAGCTAAGTACTAGTTTTATATAGTAAAATTGCTACAATTTATTCAAATTTATACTCTACCTTGTGGTATCAAGCGAGGAATACGACGAAGGAAGGACGTTCAAACATCTTATAAAGAACTTCACATGCCTTGCATGAAGAAAATCCTCCCTAATATCACCACGAGGCTTTTCATCTGTCATATTTTGTCGCTTTATTTACACAAAAATTTTAAATCCCATTGACGGACCCACCATATTGAATTTACTACATGATCACTACATAAAGTATCTCGCTTCCAAGACCACTGACGTCACTGAGCCTTTTGGTTTCCATGGCAACAAAGGAAAAACAATATGGAGGACAAAAGTTTCGAAATTTGGAAACAGTAAATATTTGTGTTTATTTCGCCTTGAAATGCGCATTTGGAAATGAATTTTCTACGTAGAGGTTCTAAGAAGTGTCTGGTTAAAGAAATACGCATTATATCCGAAGCAAGCGTCGAAACTGAAAGGTATAGGTGTATTAACTACTATTAAATTTTAAAAAAATATCGAATTTTATAATTATTTGTATTTGTATTAAATTAAAAATGTGATTATTGTAAATTAGAACAACCATAGTGAAAAATTAGAAACGGAGATTAATTAGAACAACCATAATAAAGCCTAAAAACTAGCAATTTGTCGGCGATTTTTCTCCTGGCAAAATGTGATCGAATGAATCACAATTCAGAATGACATGCAAAAGACTTGGACTTGTTTACTTCTGAAAAACGACTCTATACTTTTGTGTGCGAGTTCACTCATGGG